GACCCAAATTTAGTCCCCAGCACCCATGTCCAGTGGTTCACAACTGTCTGTAACTTCTGCCAAAGGCACCGATGTCTCTGGCCTCTGAAGGCGCTTACACTAATATGCACATATCCACATACATACACACACATAATTAAAAATAAAATGAGGGGGCTGAGGAAATGACTCAGGGGTGAAAAGCACTTGCTGCTCTTGCAGAAGACTCAGGTTTGGTTCCCAGCACCCACTTGGTGGCTCACAACTGCCCATAATTCCAGTTCCACCTGACACCCTCTTCTGACCTCTTCAGGCACCTGGTTCACACACGGTACACATACAGGCATACACTCCCATACATAACATTAATTAATTAAATCTTTATTATGCTTTGCTTACATAAGAAGTACAGTTTTACCAAGAGAAATGAGTAACAGAGTCCTGACAGAAAGGAATCGAAGGGGGAAATTGCCTTTTACTTGTGTTATTGTGAATGAAAACCAAGAGAGGCTACTGACTAGACGAATCCTCTAACTCCAGACAGCAGAACCACAAACAATTTGTTTGCTGTTAGCAAGACTTTAATTGATGAATGAAGATTGACATAGAAGTGAAAGACAAAATATCTATCATGAACTATCAGCTCTGAAATTTAGAAATTACACTGGTCAAAATGTCAGTCATTTCATCCCTGCCAAGCGTTGCTTAGGGCCTGCTGGTCTGCAAGCTGAGATTGTCCCTTGTGTAGTAGGGCCTTGCCCTTCTCAGCTTCCTGACTAGCCAATCTAACCAGGGACAGACACTTAGCTCGAGCTGAGGCGATCCTATTGTTAGACACAAGAGCTGAACTGGACATTGCCGACACTGAGGATCCGAGGTCATGATGAAGACCACGTGCAGCGTGCAGAGTTGACCTACTCCGAAGAGGGACTCTCAGAATCTAAGGAGAGATCAGTTGATAAAACACTTGCCTAGTTAGCATGAATGGAGCCTTGGGTTGAAGCCTTGAGCTCAGGTCCCAGCACTACATAAACCAGGCATCACCAAGGAGGCAGAGGCAGGAGGATCAGAAGGTCAAGGCCACCCTTGGCTACATAGAGAGTTTTAAGACCAGCCTGGGCTATGTGAGACCTTGTCTCATAAACAAACAAGCACTTTGCAGAGATAAAGAATAGGCTGTAAGAGGAAAATGGAACCGAAGTGAAGCAAGGGCAAGAGATTAGGAGAGCAAGCAGGAGTCAGACAAGCTGTCTTCTCTAGTTGGGTTGTTTGATCTCTTAAAACGAATTTCCTTCCATTACCGGGGCTGGCTCCACTGTGTTTTGATTCCTCGGAACCAAAGGCTGCTTTGAGAAAGACATTCATCGATTGGATTAGAGCCCAGAGCTAAAAGTAAACAAGGAAAGCGTCTGAGCCGTCATAGGCTAGCTCTCACATGACACTAGACATCTGTTATCATTCACTTAACTTTTATAACAGCTGTATTGAGATCATTTACATACTCTGAAAATTCAGCCTTCTTTCGTGACTTATTTACTTTTACTTTTTCAAAGCCCCTTCCAGACCTAGTGCCCGAGCCCTGGGCAGCGTTTACAAAGAGCGGCCAGTAGGAGTAAGCACACCAGGGCAGGGATGGTGGCCGCACAGCCTAGCACAAGGGACAATCGAAACTATAAAGAGGGACCCAGCAATTCTGAGGGGGTGTACCACGTCTGTGGCCTCCTGAGAGTGTTTTTCTACGTCTCTTGGCTTCAAGGACAGCTCAAGTTACGTTGAATATCAGAGGAAGGAGCTATAAGCAAGGATGAAAACAGGGCTCCCAGCTCCACGGGCTCTCGTTGGAACCCAGCAAGGCAAATTCAGCAAGCACCTTCACCTTAACTCGCAAAGGTTGTCCTTGGACCTCTACACGCACGCACGCACACACACGCACACGCACACGCACACGCACGCGCACGCACACGCACACGCACACGCACAAGCACACATGTACACACACGCACACACGCACGCACGCACGCACGCACGCGTACACTTTAATAAAAAAGAAAATCCAAATGAACCATCAAGAATAGGTCCCTGGTTCTTAGCGAAGTACTAAAAACCGTCTGTCATTGTCGCTACTGTATAAAAATGGAGCTACGTGATCGTGCATTTGTATAAGGCCTGATAACGGTTGAGATTTCCCTGTCCCTGACTTCTTACACTGAACACAAGTTGAGTGTTCCATCTCCAAACCAAGGAAATTGCTTCAGTCAGGCTGTTTTACTCTAGGGTCACATTGTCATGCTGGGGGGCTGGGGGTCTCCCCAGCTTGTCTGAACTGGGTTGGCTTCTCTGCTGATTCACTTATCTTGGTGCCTACACAGAAAGGCAGCCCCCACGGCAGACCGTTGTCAATGTGAAAGTAAACACCTCTGAAAAACAACAAAGGCTGTAGCCGATGCCAAAGGACTGATCTAAGATGTCCCTGGAGTCCCTGGCCAGCGCTGGGATGACTTCCTGCCTGGAAATAAGACAGGGAAGTGCTGGATGGATGCGGGCCAGTGAGCTTGGGATCTGGAACCGGTGGGCTCAGGAGAGCGATCAGGACCACGGAGGGAGTTTTAGAACAGGTTGAAGGCCAGTCTCACCTTAGGCTGACTAAACACTGAGGCTCAGAGGTGCGGCCAGGGAAGGGAGATGCCAAGCAGCCATGTTTAAAAGCTCCCCAAATCTTACAGTGGACAGCCTAGATCGAGAACCCCCTCTTCTAGAGCTCCCTGTAATTTGCTTTCGCCACCAGAAACTACTTCAAAGAGAGTCTGTCAGGTGAGGGAAGGGAAGGAAGAAAAGAAGTCACTGCCCCTCAGTGTGTTTGTGTGTGTGTGTGTGTGTGTGTGTGTGTGTGTGTGTGTGTGTGTGTG